ACACAAAGAAAAGCATGTAAAATGCATTTAAAATGCAGCTTTTAAAAAACATATTCCCTTTATCTGATTATTGTTTCAAATCCCATGATAATAGGTAAATCATACCTCTTCCTTCCCTTCCCCCTCCCCTAAAAATGTCAGATCATACTTTCATGGAATTATGACTTTCTTTTTTAGTTAAACTGTCACTACTTTGTAATGCCATATAGACACAATTTTGCTTTGATTCAGTAAGCTTTTGTCATTCTAGAGATTTTCCAGCAAATCAATACGATGACAGTATTGTAATAGACTAACAACCAGTCGGTGTACCAACAACTATTTGCTCTGCTTTATTAGTTCCTGAAGAGAATGAAATACTAAGTTTTGCTGGGGATAAGCTTAGAAGTGCATACCCTGCTCTTTTTTCTGAGCCAAGATATCAACCATGAAAAAGACCTTTAAAAATCTCACTCCTCAGACTGCCTCACTGGGACTTTGGAAGTCTCTACACTTGTTTTTGATGGGCTTTCCTCAAAAAGCTCTTCAGACTACCTCTGAGAGCACTATGGAGAGATGTTCCTTTCCAAAGGTAGTGTTGCGACTTGAAGCCATGTCTCAGTAACACTGTTTCCTTGGAAGATGGACTAAACATGGCACAGGGTAAAGATATTACCCAGTTTCAGAAACATGTAACCCTGCAAAATAATCTGCACTTCAGGCCTAAGCCTAGATGCTAGGTCAGCAATGTAGTGTTCAGCTGCTCTGCTAGGTCTCTAAAATTTAAATAAAACTCAAATGTAAGAGTCATAAGTGCAAAAAAAAATTTTTTTTAAGTAGACAGTGTTGGTTTTATAGGACAAAGTAATACTCTGAGAAACGGATACAAGGAGTCTTATTTGCAAATATGAGTATAGTTTTCCTGAGGCTGTTACATTTTTACCCTTAAAAAAAAATCTTATTATTGTATTTATTTGTTTTTGCAGATAACAAACCAATCCAGCAATCTTGGATGAGGAAAGAGACAAATAACATCTATTAGATTGACAAGCTTGCAAGATTTCAGTGACTTTTGTCTCAGCACAAATTAAAAATGAGCACGAATTTTTGCCCCAGTCACTACTTGCAACATTCTTACAGAAAACAGAATTGTGATACACACATCATATTATATAATTTATGTACCTAAATGGCAGGTCAATTGCAATTCATTCAGGAGTCAAAAAATCCAAATGCATTTCAACTACAATATGATGGTTTGTATACTTTGATCTTGTCATGCAAAGAGTATTTCCTTGTTTGGAGATCAGGATTTAAATCAGTTATCTGCAATATTCAATTCATATTCTTAAGAAATGAATTTTTAGTACTTCAAAAATACAAGGAAGATATTAGTTCTGGTGTTTGGCATGAAGTTACGCAAAAACCTGATGTTTTATCAATGAAAATATCCATTTCATTGGATCTAGGGTTCTTCTTAGAATAAACAGTCAACATTAAAAAAAGATAACACTATTAAGAATAAGCTTGAACAACTTAAAGATGATGATTTGCTATTCCTGAGTTTGGCAATGCCTTGGAACAGTGCCAACGACAAAAATTTTACAAAAGCAGGTTACATGACCCCTCACAATAACATCCATATCTGATAAAGTAAAAAGCTTCAAAAGAGCTGCTTTTTGGGCAGAAAGGGGTTCATCATGTATCAGCTGGGTTTGCTCTTCCATGTGTTCTTCAGATAGCATCTACAGACCCATGATTAGCAATTAACTTTAAGAAAACACAAACATATAAAATAGAAGCAGTATGTTTTTGTGGTATTACTGCTACTATATCACGGACACAATAACATGGGAAAAAAAAATCAGGACTAATTACTCAGAGAAAAGATTTGCCAAACAAGACATGATATTTGCTTCATATTCTGAAGCTATTGAGAACTGTTACCTAATGTTAAAGCTTAGGAATGGCAAAAGTTCTTCCAAAACATATTGTAAGCAAGTATTTCTAAGTAAAGCAGAATATAATAGCAGAGTCACCTAGAGCAGGCTGCTTAGGACTGTTTCCAGTCAGGTTTCTAACGTATCTGAGGATGGAGACTCCACAACCATTCAGAACAACCCATTCCAATGTTTGACCACTCTCACAGTAAAAAAGTTTTTTCTTAAGTGGATTTTTCTGTATTTGAATTTATGCCCATTGCCTCTTATCCTGTCACTGGGCATCACTGAAAAGAGTCTGTCTCCACCTTTTTTACTCCCCCATCACCACATATTTGTAGATGTTGGTAAGACACACCCAAGCCTTCTCTTCTTCAGGCTGAACAGTCCCAGCTCTCTCTGGCTCTCCTTGTATGACAGATGCTCCAGTTCCTTAACCATCTTCAAGGCTTTTTGCTGGATTTGCTCCACTATGTCCACGTCTCTCATGTACGGAGAAGCCCAGGATTGGACACAGCATTCCAGATGCGTCTCATCAGTGTTGAGTAGAGGGGAAGGTCACCTCCCCTCGATCTTCCAGCAATGCTCTGCCTTCTGCAGCGCAGGAGGCTGCTGGCCTTTTTGCCGCAAGGGCATGTGTGTTGTCCACCAGGACCCCCAGGTCCTCCTCCGCTTTCCAGCTGGTTGGCCCCAGTGTACTGTGGCACCTGGGGTTACTCCTCCTCAGGTGCAAGAGTTGGCATTTCCCTTTGTTGAACTTAAGGAGGTTCCTTCTGTCAGTCCATTTCTCCAGCTTTTCAAGGTCCCTCTGAATGGCAGCACAACCATTTGGGGTGTCAACTACTTCTCCCAGTTCTGTGTTGTCAGCAACTTTCTGAGGATGTTCCCCATCCCTTCAGCCAGGACATTAATGAAGATGTTAAACAGTATTGGACACAGTATCAACCCCTAGGGTACTTCACTAGTGACTGGTCCCCACCTGGGCTTCATGCCATTGGTCACAACCATTTTAGCCCTTCAGATCACTTCACAGTCTACTTATCTCTACTGTATTTAATCAGTTTGTTTATTGGGATGTTATGGGAAACAATGTTGAAAGTCCTGCTAAAGTCAAGATAAACAACATCCACTGCTCTCCTCTCATGCACCAAACCAGTCATCTCACCGTAGAAGGCTATCACATTGGTCAGGCATGACCTTTTCAAAAACCCATGCTGACTTTTCACAACTACCTTCATATCCTTAGAACATTTGGAAGTGGTTCCCAGGATTAGTTGCTCCATTTCCTTCCCAGGGACCAAGCTAAGGCTAATCAGCCAGTGGTTCTGTGGATCCTCCTTCTTGACCTTCCTTAAAATAGGAGAGAGATTTGCTGTCTTCTAGTCCTCAGGAACCTCCTCCAATTGCCATGACCTTTCCAAGATTGTAAGAGTGGCCTTGCAATGACATTAGCCAGTTCCCTCAGCACTCACAAGTGCATCTCATTAGGGCCCCAGACTTTTGTTTATCCAGTTTGTTGAAATGTTCCTTAAGGAGATTCTTCTCTACTTCCTTCATCAAGACTTTCCCACTGTTCTTAGTTGCTTGGTATTCCCAAGGGCAAGTCTTAACCACTAAAGACTGAAGAGAAGGCATCCAGTACTTCAGCCTTTTCTGTGTCCTTTGTTGCCAGGGCCCCTGTCCCATTCAGGAGCAGACCCACATATTCCCTAAATCTTCCTTCTGCTGCTGATACACTTTGAAGAACCATTCTTGTTGCTATTCACATCCCTCGCCAGAGCCAACTCCATGTGGTCTTCAGCTTTCCTAACCACATCCCTGCATGTTCAGATAATGCTCTATATTCCTCATGGGTCACCTGCCCATGATTCTACCGTTTCTATGCCTCTTTTTTTATGTTTGAGTTCAGTCAGGAGCTCCTTGTTCATCCAAGCAGTCCTCCTGCCACATTCACATCACTGTCTGATCATCAGGATGAGCCATTCTTGAGCTTAAGATCCTCCACTGTAATTTTACAGGTATTGAGAAGTCTCTGAAAAAAGCTACTGCTTAGATAACAATAGAAATAATACCTATCAGAATTTGACTATTGGTGTAGTGGAAAGTAGTCTGTTTCTTTACTAATGTTGTGGTTTAACCCTGGTAGGCAGCTAAGAGCCACACAGCTGCTCAGTCACTTCTCCTCAGCAGGACGGGGGAGAGAATCAGAAAGGTAAAAGTGAGAAAACTTATGGGCTGAGATACAGACAGTTTAAAGCAAAAGCTGCGTGTGCAAGCACGGCAAAATAAGGAATTCCTTTACTACTCCCCATCAGCAGGCAGGTGCTCAGCCACTTCCAGGAAAGTAGGGCTTCATCACACGTAACAGTTACATGGGAAGAAAAACACCATAACTTTGAATGTCCCACCTTCTTCCTTCTTCCCCCAGCTTTCATTGCTGAGCACAATGTCATATGGTGTCGGATATCCCTTTGCTCAGTTGGGGTCACCTGTAGGAGCTGTGTTCCCTCCCAACTTCTTGTGCACTCACACTGGCAGGGCAGTATGAGAAACAGAAAAGGCCTTGACACTATGTAAGGATCACAAGCTGCTATGAAGAAAATTAACTCTATCCTAGCCAAAACGAGTACACAACTTCTGTGCAATTCTATCCTGCTAAATGGAAATATTATACTTACAGCCTGATTAGGCAGATTGTCAGTCTTAAGTTCTCTGTAGTTGGAATACTGAATATAAACAGGCCGATTGCAGAGATAAGGTCTAGCAGTAGCATAGTAGTTCACCATAGTAACCGCAGTTTCTTCAGAAGCCATTTCCAAAAGTGCCTGCAACCAATACATAGCAGTTTTCAGTGCTGTTTTGTTTACAGGAGGGAACAAAGCATCAAAGTACCATTTATTTCCAATTCCACTCTCACTAGAAAAAGATCATGTGAAAGCACAGTACTCATTTGTTCAGCATTAAAATGCATTTGTGTGTGCATATTTATGGGGATATTTGATTTGATTTGTGGGTTTTCTTAAGAGGTTTTACACTGTAAGTAGAAGAAGTCATTAAGAAGAGGTGAAATAAGTATGACATATGGGAAGCAATGCTGCTAAAAATACCACACTGCTAATGAATTCATTAGGTTCCTGAATCTAAGTACTATTACCTAGGTAGCAGATACGTATACTGATTGAAAAAGTGGGAACAGGACACTAAACATCTATCACTTTGTGCATTATATTAACCCAGCTCAGTGTTCTCAACAATTTTCAAATGAATGCCTATTATTTTTAGGATTTCAGTGTTTATTTGTGATGTGAACTACCCTGTCACATCTAAAAGGATTAAAAAAAAAAAAGTAAGCAATTTATTTCACATTAAAAAGTTAACATGCATGTTAATTATTTAATCAGGCAGGTTATTTCAAGGCATATGTCAACATCAATAGTGACAATGTAGTTCTTTATTGTCTACATATTCTTACATAAGGTGGATATAATGTTTAGCAATATTATTAACAAGTTACTAGGTCATTATTTAATCCAAAAGTATATTAAAAACTTAAAATAAATATCAAGACATCCTTTCACATTTGAAAATATGAAAGTCTTGAGCTATTAATTAAATATTTAGACATTCTTGCAATCATATCATCCAAAGGCAATACCAAAAGGGTCATAACTTGAACCACATTTTGAGCCTTGCTCTTACAATTGAAACATTGAAAATTACATACCTGATTTTTCCCTTTTAGCATCAAGAGGTTGGTTACTGTGCCAAAAGGAAGGCCTAATGAAATGACATCTGCTTCAGTCGCATCACTTGGAATTTGACCAAGATGAAGGACACGTGAAGCTGAGCGTGGCAATCTCTCTTCTCTAAGTTTCTTCTCATCATCTAAAATATTTTAGGGAGAGGGATGGACAAGCAAACAAGACAAACTTATTGTACAGTATAGATACCAAAACCTAGAAGAGCTAAACTGCTGTCTCAGCACTGACATTGACTTATCTATAGCTTTTGGTATCCTAAGAAAGGACAAGTCATATAACCAAAGGACAGTTTAAGAAGACCCCTTCAGCTGTTCCAAATCTCCACTGCAAGGGGAGTGTGTGGTGTGTTTGTTTCACTTTGGTTTGCTTATTTTCTTGTAGGGTTTTTTTGGTTGGGTTGGGTGGGGTTTTTTTTTTGAAGTCTCACAGACAGAGAGCCCAGTAACATATTTACAAAATGTTGATTACACAGAAGGGCAAGTAGTACTTAGGAGGTAATACATTAATTATTTTTTTTTATTGCTAACTTATCTTCCTGCATGGTATGTTTGCTTAGATTCATTTGCTGCTGCAAAGAGTTTTTTTATTTTATTAAAGAAAGCCTGTGGTCCCACATGATTGTAAGTTTGAAAAAGTGTTTGAAAAGGATAGATAGCAGTGAGGCGTGAAATCCGTACAGATCCTAAAGTTTTCTACTTTGGCAAAATGCCTTTTTTTTTTTTTTTTTTTTTTTAACATATGCCTATTTGGATCCTGTAACAGGTAGGTGACCAATGGTTACATTTCAAGGACATGACTTGGAGTCCTTGAGAGCACCTTTAAGCAGAATACCACATCTGAAGAGGCAGATTGTTCTAGAAGCTATCACAATGGATTATTAACTTAAAGTAGTAAAAATGAAATTCATTAGCCTACCTACAGATCCCAGTAAGAGATTCTCATAAAGCAAGCTACAGAGGCTTATGAGACTTGATGGAAAAAATATCCTAAACTAGAGGAAAGACAGCATATTTGATAGAAATTGTATTGAAGTCTAACTGCATACCATTTAGCTTAAAAGAAGAAACAGCCTTCTTTTTTTAGTCATGTGCCACAAACAGCTTCACTCCAGCAAGACTGATAGCCTTAACACCTCATGTGTTGCATTATGCCTTCCAAGGGGAGTCACAGAAGTTTGGTAAAAAATATCTGTATGAGCTTAGTAAGTAATTTCAGATTTTGCTGTAGGTTTTGAGTACAGTCTAAGGCTGAGAAGTGGTTCACACAAGTCATTCTGTAAAAGGATCTTTACAGAGGATTTTTTTACTAGCGGAAGTCTCTAAAACTCCAAGTTAGGTGATCTAAGCCCCAACCACGGCACACTCATAAGCCAAGTTAACTAATTCCCCCACCTGCAGAACAGGAAAGTCTGTTATGCATTTATTTTTCCATCAAGAAATTTTAAATGGCATCATGTGCTCTTTGTGAATTCTGAAAAATGTGAACATGAGGCACACTTGTTGGGCATGAGACTAAGACACACAGAAACATATTAAACACATATCAGTACCAAGCCACGATGGGATATATTACTATTAAAGCATAACAACCCATCCTATTTTGTTAAATCTGCTTTTCAGGTTTAAAATGGACAAGATGTCCTTGACTTAGTAAAGTCAAGGACTGCTTGACTAAAGAAAGCAGGAAATGAAACCTAACAGGAATTTTGCCTTTAGTTTAAGTTGAGAGACTCTGGCAGAAGAAATACCTTCTGGGTTCTGACTTATCATCAGAGTTGACAAAATGGAGCTAAGTGGCAAGCACAGCATTTTCTTTCTACATTTTCACTGAGTGTTACAGAAGTTTTCAGGTCAGGCATTCAGCCAAAAAGGACAGTGGTTACCAGTACAGTTTCAGCCTGTGTACATACAGTATGCATCCTCTATCTCACTATTTACCCATTCGCAAGCATATGTTAGCTCTAGTTGATCTGCCTTCGGAACAGTGACCAACGCCTGACCTAAAAATGCTATTAAAGTGCTTATTTTCCTGTTGTAATTATATTCAGTTTTGTGGAACTTTAGCTAAGACACTAAATCAGCAGTAAAAGCTAGCACTCATTCCATTCCAGGTATAAAGACCTCAGCATTTTTTAAATGATGCTTCTTTCTCCAGCTACTGTTTGATACTAATTTTGATGCAGAGTGATAATCATGTGGGTTTTTGGCATCTAAGTTTCAAAATTGATTCGACAATTCTTTAAAGCATGCCCAAGGCGATCACCTCTTCCAACTCAATTGGGTGAAAGAAAAAATGCTTTCAAACGACAATGATAAGAGAAGCCTTATGAACAAAGTGAAATTTGGGGCCTGGTGCTACAAAGGGAAGTCCATTACAATCATGATTGTAATGGTACAAATATATTTCTCAAGCGAGTAGCCTCAGATCAAGAAACCCAAAACATATTTTAGATATATGACCCACCAGATGAAAAAAATGTTGCAGGTGAAGCAGTTGTATTAGGTGAAGAGTTGCATCTCAACAGAGATTACATAAACCCAAAATGAAGTATAGAGTTATAGAAGAGAATTAGAGGGTTTTTTTAGATTTATTAGGATACAAACCCATCTATCTTATTTTAAAGTTTAATATCGTTTAGACACCCTGGACACTATGAAGGGTCAGTGGTTGCATGGACAATTAATAAAAGCCACTTGAATTTAATACAAATTTATATTCCTTGCCAGCTGGTTTCTTCTCACAAAAATACCATCTACACAGGCCTGAAATACTTCAGTTATTAAATTACTGAGTTATAAGCTAATACTGTTTCAAGCCAAGCAGAAGCCTCTGGATGTCACACTGAATTGATTAGCAGAAGTATGAACAGTCTGACATGTGCAAGTCGAAGAAATCAAAAAGAAAAAAATCTTCAAGTTAGCTCCTCACACTCTTCATTTTCCTTATCCCCCATTGGAAATACAGCAAGTAAGTCTTAGATGCTTATCAAGAGGTCATCTGCTCTGTCCCTTGCCCCATTATAAAATCAACTATTTGGAAACCACTGTTGACAGGCAATTATCTATGTCATGAGTTAGTTAATTTATTTTACTTGAAGTTAACTTATGCAGCCATGGACCATTAATATTTCAAACTCACCTAAGCTGAAAGTACCTCCAAAGAAAACAGTCCCAGCTTTCTCTCTCTTTCAACTTTTTGTTTGATCTAAAACTACAGGTAACCAAATACACTTCCCGCATCTTTCTCAACACAGAGTGGGGCAGATCATAAATTTCTTTGGATGGTAGTACTAGTTTAACATATTTGAAGAAACATGTGGCTGTGGTTTCATACTGAGCCAACACATTGCTTAAACAGACCCAGTTTCCTTACCCTGCATGTGTCTATCCAATTTCCCACCATCTCCCAAAAAAACCATTCTGCTGAACAACACTCCATGCATATATGTAGTGAACCAGACAAGAAAACATCTGATCGGGGGGGAAATCATTTTTCCTATTGCTTCCCTTGCAAAAACACTACCATTCATCTCAAGCCATGGAGAGATTGTCTGGTGACAAGAACTGGCAGGAAAACATCTGAAAACAAATCACAGGACTGTCTGTGTTGCTGCTCAAGAAGTTTTGAAAGTGGGGTGGAAAGCAGGAACAAGAACACCCAAGGAAATCAGCTTAACTCTTCAGCACAAATCCACATAATGTGCCCTATGTCCACCAGACTGAGATTGATACAGGATATTCATCTTCTGTATCTGTAATCCTGACAGCCTTGAAATACATCAAAACAAATTCCTTTCAAATACAGGAAAATTGAGTAGGCACTTGACAATCTGTCCAGAATGCTCCTTGCTTGATCATGATTACAGAATTTATTTTTTTTTTTTCCCCATTTCAGCTGGAGTTTTGGAGCTCCTCAATACTGTCGTTGAATTGGATAGACTCCAGTGGCTCTACTGTTGGAATCAGATTACAGTTCAGGCATGGTGAGGCTGCTCATGGTGACAATAAAGAATACAAAAAAAATACATTTACAGAGAAAACACACACTGTTTAAGAACTGTGATAACAATCTTTTTTTATGTATACCTGTAGCTGGAGTAGAATTGTTCATGGTGAAAGGCCTGTTACTGACACCAGAAGAAAGAAGCTTCTGAGGGCCACACTAAAAAAGAAAAGACAACGTTACTAGTAAAAGCTGTTATAGAGAAAAGGCTTGATATAAAAGTGCAAAGACTCCTGTAATTTATTCTTCCCAAGAACACCCCCTTTCTATACACATTATTCACAATTGCTGTGAAGTTCTATTTCGGGGAAAAAAAATGCCAACTACACAGCTTTTCTTTCTGTCTCAAGATGTTAACAAGTTCGGCTGTGTTACACTTTTCTTCTCTTACTATTTATCCTACTACAGTTCACATTTTAAAAGACCAAGAATAACAAATGCTTATGAAAAGAGATGAGCTGGCTGCAAGCTCTGAGTCTGCAATACCACATTGCTTCCAGATATGAGTAAACACACAGCTACACAGATAAGGTCAGCATTTGTGACTGGACACAGTGGACCTTGAGCAAAACTAACTCAAGACATATTTAAATATACCTGTGGCACCTTTTTTTAAACCTTATCCTTGTCCTAGGAACTTGATGGTGGATCATACGCATTTAGAAAAAATACTGAAAATCAAAGTATATGCTTTAAGAATACTGATAATTTGAGGGTCTAACTATCACCAGAGAAGAGTTTGAGCACTACAGGTTCTTCATCCAAAAATCAGTGCCTAGCTGCCAATTAAGTCTGTTTACTCTTTAAGACTGCTCTAGTATGCCAGCCAAGCACCAGCTTCAAAATGCCAACAAGAAACAAGGTACGACAACACCTCTAAAAGGCAATTAAGATTTCTGAAATTTTCACCACATTCTTCCATAAAAGCATTTTAATGAAAAGTTGAGTCTAAGGGAGTGTTCTACAAGATGGAAAAAGCTGATCCAAACAGCTCCTCACCACTTTGGTGGAAGGAGAAGTTCCTATTGCCCTTACCCCAGTATTCCCACCTGCTCAAGGTCATGAGTCGCTTATCTCGCACCAGCGCTGGTGCCCAAGAGATTTTCCATGAGATGACTCAATCCTCCAACCTGCCAGCACTCTATGCTGAGTTAGATTAGTTTATCAGCAGAAGAAGGGGTTGAAAAGTGCCAGGATCCAGTGTGAAGAAAGGGGTAGGGATAACTGAAGAGGAGATGGGACTAAGAAAGCATCCTTTTGGCAGCCATCATGCTGGCTTGTATTGGCTACAGAAGTACCGCTCAGAGAGGACCACTTTATAAGCTGTTACATAAATATATTTTAAAGAAATCCCAATTCTAACTGTTTTCATTTGCCACCAATTAAATCCATTTGCAATAAAAATACAGGCTAATGTAAAGAGCAGCCTATTCAGCTGAGCAATAGAGTATACCATACATCATATAGCCCAAGTTATGCTTCTTTGGATGGTCACATTTTAAATTAATCTCATTAAAGTTTGTCAATGAAATGATTACTAGAGGTCTGATACATATCATATTCTATTTGGATGGATATTGGAACGTAATTAACATCCAAAATCCGTATTAATTTTTAGTTATTAGAAGTATCTTCAGTATGCCACCATCCAGGTATTGAACACCTAAAGAGCATATTTTGATTGTAAAGTGCACATCCTGCTAATTAAACAAAAGCAGCAATATGTGCAGCTAGTAAGTGGTGGAAAGTATTAAAGATAGTCTTTTATTAAGCCAACCATTCCTTTTATTTACAGGAGGGGAGGAAAAAAAAACCACTACTGCTGTAACTCCAGTTATGGGGGCTTTTAGCTTGTTTTTTAACTTAGCATTTATTCAACAGAAGAAGTATCTGCATTTTTCAAGAAGGCTGTGAAAAATCTTTGTGTTTTAGCACATCTGACTCTGGCAGCTGGTGCCTTTTTTGAGCAACTTTCAGTTATTTTGTGGTTTCATTATAAACACTGGCCTCAAATACATCTATTATTATTTTGACAGGTAAGTTAATTTCAATGACTTAACATGTATTCTCACAATTTCATATTTAATTTTATATGCACTGACTTTAAAAAAAAACACAACAGACTTTCTCAGAACAAAAAAAACAAATCCAGCCTCTTCTGTTTTTAAAAGTTGTCTTAGTTGATTCAGCTCAGGATTCAAATACGCACCTTAGTGCAGAAACCAGAATCTACTATGTTGACAAGCTATGTACTTATAGTTTTCGCAGAAGTTAGGAAAATGTCTAATGGCAAGATTTTTCCAAATTAGTGTAAGTTGTCTAGGTATTACTCTACAAAAGAGAAAAATCTATAAGATATGAACTGTTAGACTTACACATTTCATGGAATTTATAACTTATAACAAAAATTATTTGTTTTCAACTTAAATTTTACTGCCTGCATCAATAACTTACAGCATTAGACACTTTGTAGGCTTGGCACATGAAAATGCAACTGATAAATTTGATGCTGTTTTCCGGGCAAAATTCTCAGAGGATGCCACAGAAAATATTAACTAACTTTGAGTATTTACAACAGAACACCTTGATGGGCAGATAGATCTTTAAAACAAATTGCAAGGACCAGAACTTACTATCACAGATAACACAGAAAGTCTATAAATCAAGCATAATCTGAAAGATAACTCAGCTTACAACTTTTGATACCAATACTAAGTTACGTACCTACTTTTAGGCAGATGACCAAGCTATTTCTAAAGTACAAGAACACTGTAAAGATGCTTTTCAACATCTCATCATTTATCCAGCAGTATAACTGATAAGCCTTCTCAGTCATTGATTGAAAGCAAAAACAAACCCAATGCAAAAACATTCTAGAAGAGTGAAAAGATAAATTGACACCATGACAGTTCTCCTGCAAGTGGCATTACAATGGTCATACGTTGGATGTCTTCTGGATTAGTAAAGGAGGTGACATTTACTTCATCAGTGTCTTCCCACCCCTATTCATACAGAATCCACAGAGAAATGACAGAATTCAAGTTTGTGAAGCCCATTTGTTCAATCTCCTTCTTTTCTAGATAGAGCCGAAAGGTATTTCTTAAATACTTTGTAACACGAAGCATTTAATGTGGTGACGAAGATCTACTACAGACTGATCCAGTAAAAGGGTTGGCAAGGCCTTGAGTGCTGAAAAAGTCCACACAACAAGTTAGTGTGGCCTAGGAAGCATGTTACAAAATTCTTACTGAATCTTTCTACAGAGGCTAGAGAGTCCTACTGTGCCCCTAGTGTGTCTCTCTATACTAGTTTTCAGTTGCCTACTTCTTAGTTATTCACTGTTTAAGTCCAGCTAGAAACAGTCAGAGCAGCCAAATCCTGCCTACAAAAGCACCTTGACATCCTTACTTGCCTGCAGTTTATAGACACTCGACAAGCACTTCTTTCAGCAGGGATGTCAGCTTACACTGCCCTTATGCCATCACTACAGCTTCAGTTTTCACAGGACAACTGTCCAAGACGAGACAGTTACTTAACCTAAGTGAGCTGCTTCCACGCGTTCACTGTGAGGGCTCACAGGCAAAGGTGAAGAGGCAAGGCAGGGCAAGTAAGCACGGCTGCCCGACCTTTCGCTGATAAGCACCTTTTCCAGCACAAAGCTACACTCACAGAAAGCAGCACCATTGTTCTGTTTGAGTGTCAGAAGGACTGTATCAATTACGTGGTGAATATTCCTTCTTTTGGACTTGTGGGAAATGTAGGTAAGTGGAATTGTCCAACAAAAGGATGGCTACCAGCCCAGTGCTGGAACACCCTCCTCTGTTCCCTTACGCATCCCATCATTCCAAACACATTAATTATCTCCTAACATGTTAAGAATACTTTTTCTTAAACCATAAGACATTCCACTTCTCCTATTTCACGACAATATTTTTGCATTTCTTTGGGTTTATTAAATGGTGACAGGTAAGGTAAGAGCAGTAGAATACCTTACAGCTAGTTCAAGTTTATTCTTTCCTTTAATTATCAAGTAGAAATTAGAAGCCAGTTGCTTGAAAAGCATAATTTGATTTCAGACATTTCTTTAAAAACAGGAGAAGTTTATTGTGCCAAGTAACCATCCCAGTAAGGGGCCTTTACAAAGTGTATCACTCGGGGATAGGTTAATGAAACAAATTATTCTTCTGTATCTACCATAGCCAATTTCCCTGACTAAATAAGGCATATTACACAACTTCAGACTACAGCTACAGATGCCTTTCCTGAAATTACTTAAGCTGTTCTATGATTTTTAAATTTCTGATAATAATAGATGTTAATGATTCTGCAATTCAAGTAGAAACAATGCTGCACTCATAGCAAAGATGTATAGCAAACATCTGAAAGTCAACAACTCTAGGTTTCTAAAGTCTTTGTGAGTCACATATACTTGGAAACAGGAGGGTACGTCTGGGACTCTACTTCTTTAGAACATGACTATTTGTCAAAACAATGGCAAGTATCTATTCAAGGTTACTTCTGGAATCAACGAATCCTATAAACAGCCTTTTAATTTTTAAAAAGGCTTTATGTAAACAAAATCATCTTTTTTTCCCAACTTTCAACTGCAGTATTCTCCTTCTCTCTTCCTTGCTAGTCACAAATTCCTCAGTACAGTTCAATTAATTACAAATGGGATAGTCTCAGAGAAACTTATATCTCATCTGAAATATGTATTATTTGTTTTCCTAAAATATAGCTAGTCACATTTGTAGACTATTATTTCTAAGTCAACAATCAGGAAGGATATCATCACAGCTTTTTTCTATAAAATAGCTAGAACAACAAAAAAGGGGGCCCAATTTTAAGGCAAAATAATTCCTTCAAAAAGCACCTTTCTCCCTGCATATAAGTTAAAGGTTTTTACATTTTTCTACAAGATTCTACATGGCAACAAACAAATTACTGTTCCAAAAAGGACACACTTTGAAACATGACAATTTCAAGGTATACCAGTGAAAAATTGTTGTTAAATATAAATTAACTGTTCTAATGCATATCTTACTAATTTTTATAGAATCCGATTGTGAAAAAAAGCTAAGGGTCATGAGAAGGGTGAAAATTTCCATTATCTTCTACATCTGCAATAAGCTCTCTAAATACCTGTTACATTCGCGTAT